ACTATTGCATTTGCAAAGAAGTGTTTTCCCATTCGTCTCGCAGCCCGCATGGGAACTAGGTTTTGAGTCCATGATTTGTAGCGTTGAGCCATTTCAGGGTTATAAGAGGTCGAATTGAGTGCACGTATACTCGACGCGAGAAGGTACGATGCCGAAGCCTCGCGTTTGGTCCAGTCCTGCAGTTAAGGGAAAGACGTATCCTTTACCTAAGAAACGTCGCCCTTTAAAGCGCGTCTTACCTCTCCTCTTAATCGCCGTGGTTCTCGCCACCTGTTACTGCTACAGCCTACTAATCTCCTCCGAACCGCCCGACTCCGACCAATCAGAACGCTCCGTTTCTAGTGGCCTAGACCGGGATCGAGGTCGTATTCGCGGCTCGGGTAAGGGGAAGATAGAAAACACTAGCACTGGAGCCGAGTCGCTTGAAGACGAGTGGTCAGGCTACGGTTTAGGGAACCAACCCACTAGGATAAATGCGACCCATGTCGGCGCGGCGCGGCGCGTGCGGCTTCAAGGGGGCTGGAAGGAGCGGCGACAGCGAACGCGGGCTTTAAGAATGCAATTAGAGGCGCGGCTACAGGCGGAAGCGGACGAGGGTGAATGGGGAGAGGGGGAGGGGGAGGCGGAGGGGGAGGGGGGAGATGGAAGTCGGCGCGGGGAAGGGAAAGGGGGAGAAAGGGGAGGGCGAGGGGGAAGAGGCGCAGCGGAAAAGGGAGGGAAGGCGGGGAGAGGAGTCGACTTGCTGGGTGCGCTTCGCTCGGGGATGGCGAAATCGCGATTCGCTTACGTGTTCATCGTTCATTCGTCTAGTCTGGTTGGTGGTTCGTTCCTGGTTCGGGTGGGGTGCGGGTGGAGGGAAGGGGGAGGGGGAGGGGAGGAGGATGAGGGACTAGGGAGGAGGGGGGGAGTGGGGGGAAGGGGAGGAGGGAGAGAATTTTGTAGACGTCTCAAGAATCGTTAGTTCGTCTGATCTGGTTGGCGGTTCGTTCCTGGTTCGGGCTGGTGTGCGGGTGGAGGGAGGTTGGGAGATTGAGGGAGGAGGGAGGGGGAGAGGAGGAGGGGAGGGGGGAGAGGGGGAGGGGAGGGGGGAGAGGGGGAGGGGAGGGGGGAGAGTGGGAGGGGAGGGGGGAGAGTGGGAGGGGAGGGGGGAGAGTGGGAGGGGAGGGGGGAGAGGGGGAGGGGAGGGGGGAGAGGGGGAGGGGAGGGGGGAGAGGGGGAGGGGAGGGGGGAGAGTGGGAGGGGAGGGGTAAGGTTCAGCATGCGTTGACAACTGCTCATAACTTGGTTGGTTTCGCGTGATACGGAAATTTGTGTGGTAGTTTAGTTTTCTAAAGTAGGTGATCGAAACATCATCATTGTAACAAACACATTGTGATTGTAACATGCGTGTGGCTGTGGTGGGTGTTCTGTAACAACAGCGGGTGTTCGTTACAGAGTCACTGTAACAGACACCTCGTTCTTGTAACATTCGTAACCATGTGTGTCTCTCTTTTCCCCGCTCCCACAGTTCACTCGCTCCTCTCCTCATTTCCTATTCTCCCAACTCCCCGTCTCCCCCCTCCCCTGCCTTTCGTTCCATAACCTCTCTTGTCCCCCCCCCCACCAGTCTCTTCCCACCCCTCCCTCCTGTCCTCTCCACGTCCCCCATTTGTCCTCCCCCTCCCCCTTCCCCCTCCAACCCCAACACCTTACAGCTCCGCCCAATGATATGACAGCTCAAGCACTCCGCATCTTCTCCTCCTCTCCTCCTCCGTTCCCCGCCAACCCTCCACGCTGCCCCTCATTTCCACCTCTTCCTCCCCTCCCTCCCCCCCCTTCCAGCTCCGTCCGGCCATAGTGGCGGCTCAGGCCCTCCGCTTCTCCTGCACCCCCCACGACCTCCTCCTCCTCCTCTCCTCCTCCGTACCCCGCCAACCCTCCACTCTCCCCCTCATTTCCCCCCCTCCCTCTCCCCCCCCCCCCCCCCCCCCCCCAGCTGCGCCCGCCCGGCCATAGTGGCGGCTCAAGCCCTCCGCTTCTCCCGCACCCCCCACGACCTCCTACTCCTCCTCTCCTCTTCTATGCTTTAATTATCTCCTCTTCCCCCCCTCCACCCACCCTTCCCCTCTCCCCATTCCCAGCTTCGACCAGCAATAGTGGCAGCTCAATCCCTCCGCTTCTCCCGCACCCCCCACGACCTGCTGCTCCTCCCCTCCTTAATGCCCCCCATTTCTCTCCCCCCTCTCCCCTTCCACCCCAACAATTATACTTCCAGCTCCGCCCGGCCATAGTGGCAGCTCAAGCCCTCCTCTTCTCCCACACCCCCTCATTCTCCCCCCCTCCCTCCTCCCCTCCCCTCCCCTCCCCTCCCCCCTTTCCAGCTCCGTCCGGCTATAGTGGCAGCTCAAGCCCTCCGCTTCTCCCGCACGCCCCACGACCTGCTTCTCCTCCTCTCCTCCTCTGTGCCCCGCCAGCCCTCCACTCTCCCCCTCCCCCTCCTCCTCCGCCACTTCACAGCCGTCATCCCCCTCCCGGCCAATCACCTTCAAGGAGCCGCCGTCGCGGCCAATCCACTGCTAGTAGCGAACCTGGGCGGCGGAGGGGCGGCGGGCAGAGGGGGATCGGGCGGCGGAGCTGGTGGGGCGGCTGGGGATGGTTTGGGGACCAATCAGGGGGCGGGGATGGCAGGGGGGGGGTCTCCGGTGGAAGGTTACAGGAAGCTTCATGTGTGGCGGTTGGTGGAGTATGACTGGGTGTTGTATCTTGATGTGGATGTGCTTATAACGAGGAATTTGGATCACCTGTTCCCTAGTAACGCGGAGGATGGCAGCAGCACCGTCAGCAACAGCAGCAGCAGCAGCAGCAGCAGTGGCGGCGGCAGCAGCAGGAGCAGCAAGGGAGCAGACAGGGTCGAACCTTCACCAGATAACACCTCCCCCCACAGGCAGCCCTGTCCCGAACCTCTGGCTGCCGCACCTGACGTGTACGAGGCTGACCGCTTCAACGCAGGGGTGCTGCTGGTTCGGCCGAGCCTCGCGGTGTTTCGGCAGATTGTGAGGCGGGCCAAGGTGGTGGCTGCTGCCGTGGCTGCTCGCGCTGGCGCCATGCCTAACGACCAGGTATGGCAGGGGGGGAGATGATGATGTTTTACCTCGGAAAGACTTTGAGACATATTCCAGCGAGGGGAAATGGGAACAGGGGGAGGGGAGATTATGATGTTTTCCCTCGGAAAGAGCTGTCGATCATGTTGTTTTACCACTGCTACCACACCCACCCGTCCTGCTCCTCCCCCTGTTCCCATTTCCCCTCTTTCTGGCCCATGTCCCCTCCTACCACTCATGCTCCCCCCCCCCCCCATACACCCCCCTGCCGTCCCATGTCCTTCCTGCCGCTCCCTGCTCCCCCTGCTGCCTCCTCTCCCCCATCGCAGGATTTTCTCAACTCGGTGTTTCGCCACTGGTTCAAGTCCCACCACCCCTCCTGCCGCCTCCTTTCCTCCTCCTGTTCACCGATGCCCCCAATTGCCCCTTCCTGATCCCCCACTCCTTCCCCATCACAGGATTTTCTAAACTCGGTATTTCGCCACTGGTTCAAGTCCCACCCCTCCTGCCGCCTCCCTTTCACCACCACCGCCATCCTCCACTTCCCCCGCCCCTCATACCAACCTCCCCCCTAACTGCCCCAACTCACTCACCCGCTCTTCCCCCTCCCCCCCCTGCCCCCTTGCTCCCTTTTCCCCTGTTCCTCCTGCCCCCCCTGCTCCCCTGCTTCCCCTGCCCTGTTCCCTCTGTTCCACTCCCCACCTCTTCCCCATCACCAGGATTTTCTCAACTCGGTGTTTCGCCACTGGTTCAAGTCCCACCCCTCCTGCCGCCTCCCCTTCACCACCACACACCCCCCTGCTGCCCCATGCCCTTCCCTGCCCCCCCTTGCTCCCCACCTCTTCCCCATCACCAGGATTTTCTCAACTCGGTGTTTCGCCACTGGTACAAGTCCCACCCCTCCTGCCGCCTCCCCTTTACCACCAACGCCATTCTCCACTTCCCCCTCCCCTGGTACCAACCTCCCTCCTGGTTACACCCCCCCTGCGGCCCTGACTGCGCCCCGCTGCACCTAGGACCTGTTCACACAGTGCACTTCGCCAACCCCTGGTTTAAGCCCTGGCTCTTTCTGAACATGCCCTTGGACCAGCTGGTCCCTGGGAGTCAGGAGCTGGGCTTTAAGGGTGCTGGGAACGGGGTTGCTGCTGGTAGCGCTGCTGCTGCTGTTGGTGCTGCTACCAGTGCTGCTGGTGGTGCAGCTGGTAATGCTGCTGCTGCTGCTGCTGCTGCTGCTGTTGCTGCTACTAGTAACGCTGCCACTGCTTCTAACTCCTCTTCCTGTGCTTGTGGCTGTGCCACCACTCCAGACCACTCTCCACACCATTCCTCCTCCTCCCCTTCCATATCTACCCACCCCCTCCTCGCCGGACCTCTCCCGTACCTGTCCGAAACCGACCAAGCCTGGGGCTTCTGTTCGGTGTGGTGCCGAGCCTGGCTTGCCCTGTACTGGTCGCTGCAGCAGGGGGAGTGGGCGGCTCCCCTGGGGGAGGGGGCGCACTGTGTGGGGCAGGGGCAGGGGCAGGGGCAGGGGCAGGGGCAGGGGCAGGGGCAGGGGCAGGGGCAGGGGAAGGGGCAAGGAAAGGGCACGGAGAGGGAATCGGGGGGCATGGGGGAGGGGAAAGGGGGGAGAACAGCGGAAGGGAAGAGCGAGGGGAAGGGGGGATTGGGGAGGGGGTTAAAGGGTTGGGCAGATGAAGCAGGGGTTGCAAACTCGACAAGTCCGCAGCTGCCCTTGTCACGAGCAGGAGCTGTAGATATAGGCAACAGGGGAATAATGAACCTAAGTAAGATAGGGGGAGCGGGGAGGGGGTTAAAGGGTTGGGCAGGTGAAGACAGAATGGCAAACTCTACAAGTTCAAAGCCGCCCTTGTCTCGAGCAGGAGCTGGAAGTCCAGGAAACGGAGGATCAATGAACCTAAGTCAGACAGGGGGGGCTTTGAAGCTAGACAGGGGGGGAGCAGGGAAAGGGGGGCAAGAGAGGTTGGGGAAAGAGAGGGCAGAAGTAGAGAAGGTGCAGGCAGTGAGGTTGGGAGAGGCAGCAGTGATTTTGGGAAAGCAGCAGGTAGGCAACAGGAGCACCACAGCAATCCCTTCCCTACCACCTTCTCTCCTTTCCTCCTCTCCAGTTCCCTCCTCGCCTCCTCTCTCCTCCTCCTCCTCCTCCTCCTCCTCCTCCTCCTCCTCCTCCTCCTCCTCCTCCTCCTCCTCCTCCTCCTCCTCCTCCTCCTCCTCTCCACCTCCTCTTGACTCTTCAAACACACCTCCTCCTTCCCCCACTCCCACTTCTCCTCCTCTCCCTCCTCCCCCACCGCCCACTCCCGCCTCTTCTCCCCTCCTCGCCTCCCCAGTGTGTTCCTGGGCAGGAGTGGCACAACTATCATGGGTAGGGCTAATCCCAGAGCTTCACCTTGATACGGACCTCCTTGCAACCCCAAGGGCTTCTGAGGCGCCTCAAACGGCTGGAATGGCCCAAACTCTTCCCTCTTCCTCTTCCTCCTCCACCACCTCCACCTCCTCTTCTCTTTCCTCCTCCCCCACTTCGCTTTCCTCCTCCTCTCCTTGCCCCCCTCCTCACCTCCCTCAATGGCTCTGGTCCCCCTCCTCCCTCCCCCCCTCGCTTCCACTCGCCTCTTCTGATGCGCTCAATGACCCACCGCTTCCATTACACTCCCAGCATCAGCAGCAGGGAAACGAGCAGGAGAAGCAGCAGAACCGGCCGCAGCAGCAGCAGCGGAAAGAGAACGAGCAGCAGAGGTTACATGGTAACCGTAACCATAACCGTGCCAAGCACAGCCGTGGTGGTGGGCATGCCAAGCACAGCCGTGGTGGTGGGCATGCCAAGTCGCAAGCAGGCACCTCTAGGTCCCTCGCGTCCACCTCTGCCCTCGATTCCTTCTTCGACCCTCTCGAATCCTCCCTCTCCTCCTCTTCCTCGCTCTCCTCCTCCTCTTCATCTGTGAAAGACAGCAGTGAATCAGGTGCTGAGGCCAAGGCAAGGAGAACAGGCAGCTCCAGATCCCTCGCGTCCACCTCGGCTCTCGACTCATTCTTCTACCCTCTCGAGTCCTCCCTCTCCTCCTCCTCTTCTTCTTCATCTGTAAAAGACAGCAGTGAATCAGGTGCTGAGGTCGAGGCAGGGAGAGCAGGCAGCTCGCGATCCCTGGCTTCTACCTCTGCCCTCAACTCCTTCTTCGACCCTCTCGAGTCCTCCCTCTCGTCTTCTTCCTCCTCCTCATCTGTAAAGGAAAGCAGTGAATCATCAACAGCAGCAGCAGCAGGTGGGGAGGCCAAGGCAGGGAGGGCAGGCAGCTCCAGATCCCTCGCTTCCACCTCTGCTCTCGATTCCTTCTTCGACCCTCTCGAGTCCTCCCTCTCCTCCTCCTCTTCCTCTTCATCTGTAAAAGACAGCAGTGAATCAGGTGCTGAGACCAAGGCAGGGAGGGCAGGCAGCTCCAGATCCCTCGCTTCCACCTCTGCTCTCGATTCCTTCTTCGACCCTCTCGAGTCCTCCCTCTCCTCCTCCTCTTCCTCTTCATCTGTAAAAGACAGCAGTGAATCAGGTGCTGAGACCAAGGCAGGGAGAGCAGGCAGCTCCAGATCCCTCGCTTCCACCTCTGCTCTCGACTCATTCTTCGACCCTCTCGAATCCTCCTTCTCCTCCTCCTCTTCCTCCTCCTCATCCGGTTCTGTAAGCAAGAGCGGTGATGCTTTGGGAGCAGCAGCAGCAGCGGCAGCAGGAGCAGGAGGAGCGTCAGGAGCGCGATCAAGAGCGGTTGAGAACGGTTACAAAGGGAAGAGATCGACAGCAGGGTTAGTATCTGTCACCGGATTGGCTGGTTCTACTGCTGAGGAAACTTCCCAGAAACACGAGCAGCAGGAGCAGGAAAGGCAGAGACAGGCAGAGGAAGGCGTGTTTGCTACAGTGCTGACGTCAGCAGCTGACATCATCCCCGTGGCGGTGTGGATCCGATCCTTCCGCCGTCATCATTGCGGGCGGGCAGATGAGACAAACAGCACCGGTGGTGGCACTGTCAGCTCTGGCACTGATGCTTCAGCAGCGTTATCTAGAGATGGGTCCACAGGGAAGCATGGCAAGCAGAAGAAAAGGCATGGGTGGGGGAGGGGGCGGGAGGAGAGAAGCAAGAAGAGGGGTGGAGTAGGAGGGGGAGGAGGGGGAGGGGAAGGACGGGAGGAGGGGAGTGGGGCGGAGGGGATGGGAGAGAGGAGGGTGATGAAGGGCGGCCGGGCCGGGGTGGATAAGGACAAGTGTCGCCGTACGCTGCTGCTGGTGTCGTCTAAAGTGGCCAGGGAGAAATGGGCGCCCTATGACTTTGAGGTGAGTAATATAAAAGCAGTAATTATAAAACGGATCAGCTGCTAATTAGTTCAATCATCCTCAGCTGCTGCTGCTGGTGTCGTCTACAGTGGTCAGGGAGAAATGGGCGCCTTACGACTTTGAGGCGAGTAAAATAGAAACTATTGCTAGTCTGATCTTCTTCAAACTCCGTAAAAATAAAGTAAACTTTTTTTTGTCTGGTCTGAGCATGTTGTCTCTCTTCTCCTTTTGAGACGTCTCAAAAGTCTTCCCCTTTTGAGACGTCTCAAATGTTAGAAGAGAGAGAATTGATACATTACATAATGAGCCAAGAGGCCCTTTAGTACAAACAATGAGCAAGAGAGAGATGAGAGGGAAGCTTACCATATTGGCCAATAAGTTGGCCAATGGGTGAGCTTGCTTGTGGCCCAAGCAACCACAAATGTGTGTTGGTTGGGATTGGTTGAGCTAAGGACCAATCCCAACCAACCACAAAATGTGGTTGGAGGGTACACTAAGCAACCTCCCAATTTATTAATGTGCTACACTTCTAGCCTATGTATGTTGTATAAAATATGAAATTACAACACAACCCCCCAACATGCATAAGGCTAGAAGGCTAGAATCAAGAGGCGGGCGGCGACTTTGGAGGAGTGAGGCCAAGGAGACGAAGGAGTGAAGAGTGAGCCGCGTGAGGAAGAGCTTTTGTGAAAATGTCGGCAAGGTTGGCCGCCGAGTCAACCTTGTCGAGCCGAAGGTGCCCCGCCTGAACAAGATCGCGAATGAAGAAATGACGGAACTCAATGTGCTTGGAGCGCCCGTGAAACACAGCATCCTTAGTGAGGTGAATGGTACTGGCATTGTCACACCAGATGGTGGGACAGCGCTGGGGGGCACCAAGTTCCTCAAGAAGGAAGGTGAGCCAGCGGGCCTCTTGCGCAGCCATGGTGGCGGCATACAACTCCGCCTCGCAGGAGGAGAGGGCGATAGCCGAGGAGCGAGTGGAGCGCCAGCTGATAAGGCCGCTGCCAAGAGAGAAGCCATAGCCCTGGGAGGAGCGACGATCCGGCCGGGAATCAGCCCAGGAGGAGTCACTGTAGCCGCTGAGGAGAGGTGGGGAGGGGCCGCCAAGGGTAAGGACATAGTCCTTGGTGCCACGAAGGTACCGGAGGACACGCTTGGCGGCCTGCCAGTGTTCTTCCGTATGCTTGCCTGCGCCAACAAAACGGGCAAGGACGCTGATGGGGTAGGCAAGGTCAGGGCGAGTGGAGACCATGGCGTACATAAGGGAGCCGATGAGCTCTGGATAAGGACGAGAGGAGGTTGAGGGGGAGGTGGGTGGAGAGAGATGGTGCCCGACAGAAAGAGGAGTATGTTGGGCACCGCCCCGGGCCATGTCAAACCGCTCCAAGACCTGCTGCAAGTAATGACCCTGGGAGAGAGAGATGGTGCGGGCGGAGCGGTCGCGGGTGATGGTCATGCCCAGGTAATGCTGCAGCTCTCCCAAGTCCTTGCACCTGAGTCGGCTACCCAACTCAGCCTTAACACGCTCCAACTCAGCAAGGTCGGCGGTGAGCAGAATCATGTCATCGACATACACAAGGATGTAGAAGGGGGAGGGGGAGGTGCGGAAGAAGAGGCTGGCGTCGGAACGGGAGGTGCGAAACCCAAGTTCAGCAAGGGTGGCGGCAAGCTTAGCATGCCACTCCCTAGGGGCCTGTCGGAGCCCATACACAGGTCGACGCAACTGCCAGACAGAGTCTGTTGGGAAGGGAAGGTGAAAGCCGGCTGGACGCTCCATGTAGATAAGCTCGCGGAGGACGCCTTGTAGGAATGCGTTAGAAACGTCCATCGAGTGGATCTCCATATTGAGGCGAGCGGCGAGGTCGAGCACGGCGCGAACAGTAGCAGGCTTGGCAGTAGGGGAGAAGGTATCGAAGAAGTCAAAACCATACCGCTGCGTGAACCCCTTGGCGCAGTAACGAGCCTTATAGACGGGCGGCTCCCTTGGCAGCTGCTTGACGCGAAACACCCACTTTCCTTTCACCACGTTCGTAGGGGCGGGAGGGCGAGGCACATCGACAAAAGAGGAGTTGCCGATAAAGGCCTCCAGCTCCTTGATGATGGCGGCGAGCCATAGCGGAGCGTCAGGGCACGCCATTGCCTTTTCGTACGTGGTAGGAACGAAAATGGAGGGAGCAGAGGAGAACGTGAAGACAGGTGTGCCGGAGAGGTCGAACGTGATGGGTAGAAGCGAGGGGTCATAAAGGTGGAGGTCAAGGAACTCCTCATGGGAGTCCTCAGAGAGGGAGGTGTGGAAGGCGCGGATGACTGCTGGTGCCGCTGCTGGTGCTGCTGGTGGAGGCGTTGCCGGTGCCGCTGCTGGTACTGCTGCTGGTGCCGCTGCTGGTGCCGCTGCTGGTCCTGTTGCTGGTGCTGATGCTGGTGCCGCTGCTGGTGCCGCTGCTGGTGCCGCTGATGGTCCCGCTGCTGCTGCCGATGCCGCTCCCGCTGCTGCTGCCGCTGCTTGTCCTGCTGCTGCCGCTGCTGGTCCTGCTGCTGCTGCGGCTGCTGGCGCTGCTGCTGCTGCCGCTGCTGGTCCCGCCGCTGCTGCCGCTGCTGGTCCCGCTTCTGCTGCCGCTGCTGGAGCCGCTGCTGGTGCCGCTGCTGGAGAGGAGGTGGCTGAGGGGGCTGTTGCATGAGGGGCTTGATGCAAGACAGCCTGGAAGAAGTGACGAAGGAGGGGGGAGAGAGGGGGGAGGGTAGAGGTAGAGAGGGTAATGGGAGGCGGTGCACCAAGGATACTGTCACGTGACCTGGTGTGGGGATACCGGGTGAGTATAGTGCGGGAAGGGGGAGGACGGGTCGATGGCGAGGGAGAGGAAGGGGGGAGAGGGGGGGCACTAGGAGAGGAGTGAGCGGGGGAGACAGGAGAAGATAAAGGTTCCGGGTCAAAGATGTCACCAGATGAGGGAGGGGTACCGTGGGACTGGGACGGCGGAGGGGGGGGGGGGTGGGAGGATGGGGGGAGGAGGGAGTAGTGGGGGAGGGGTGGTGTCAGACCAGACAAGGGGACGGGTGAGAGGGGGTAGTGGGTCAGTAGATGTAGGAGAGGAGTAGTAGGGAGTGGACTCGTCAAAGACCACATCCCGGCTGCGGATTAGACGACCGGATGGGGGGTGGAGGAAAAGGTAGTCGGGGGAGGAGGGATTATGACCAAGGAAGATGCAAGGAAGGGTACGAGGGGCAAGCTTTCCCATGGAACGGGAGCGGTCAGAGGGGTGAATGAGGACATGTGCCTTAGAGCCCCAGACACGAAGTGATGAGGCATCAGGCTTGTCCTTCGTCCACAACTCAGTGGGGGTGATGGAGGGGAGAAGGGGGTGAGGGTGAAGATTAGTAAGGAGGGCGGCATGAAGGAGGGCGTAGCCCCAAAGAGAAGGGGGGCAGGAGGCGTGGACAAGCAGACACCGGGCTGTTTTGATGATCTCTCGAACACGACTCTCAGCCACGCCGTTCTGCTGTGGGGAGTGAGGGAGGGTGTAAGTCTGAAGGATGCCACGAGACTGACAATAGGAGACTTGGTTGTTAAGGAATTCACCACCTCCATCAGAGTGAAGGCGGCGAACAGGGCGCCCAAAATGGGTGTTTGCCCGCTCGAGCCAGGCGATGATCGCAGCCGGGGCATCCGCCTTCGTCCGAAGGAGAGAGACGGATGAGTACCGACTGTGATCATCAACAAGCACAAGAAGGTAGCGATGGCCCTGGCGAGTGGGAGAGGGATTAGGGCCCCATAGGTCCATGTGAACAAGATCAAGTGGCTGCGCAGCAGCGGAGGGGGAGCTCCGGTGCGGATGCTGCTTGAGCTTGCTCTGAACGCAGATGGTGCAGGGGGGTGCAGGGGATTTGGGGAGGGGAGGGAGGGAGGAGGGGAGACCGTGGAGGAGACCGGAGGAGACAGAGGAGCGCAGAGTAGCGAAGTTGGGGTGACCTAGCCTGTGATGGAGGAGGATGGTGGGGTGGGAGAGGGAGCGACAGGAACAGTCAGAGTCAGGAGGGCGGGGGGGGAGGGGTGGGTTAGTGGGAGGGAGGGGAGGGGGGGGGGGGAAGGAGGGGGGGGGGAGGCAACTTGGAAGGTGAGGGGGCGGGGAACCCGAAGGGTGTACAGACGGGAGCGGGGACAATAGGGAATACGGGCGAGAAAACGCCCTGTGGAGGTTTGGTATAGGTCACAATGGTTAGCACCACCTGGGATGAGAGTGGTGATCATGGCTTGCTGGAGGGACCTTTGGGAGAGGAGGTTAGTACGAAGGGAGGGAATGTGGAGACCGGTGACAGTACCTGAGGGAAAGAGAGGACAGGGAAGGGTGGAGGTGTTGTGACAAGGGATGGAAAAACTGCTATCAGCGCCGAGGAGGGAGGTTGGTGTGGGGAGAGGGCGCAGTGTACCAGCGTCACGAAGGACAGTGTCAGTGGCTCCACTGTCCAGAACGAATTCAATGGTGGAGGAAGGTGAGGCAGAGTACTGGAACGAAGTTTCATTAGCAGAAGAAGGGAACATGGGAGATGCAACAGATCCAGGTTGACCTAATAAACCAACAAAACCAGAGGAAGGGAAAGAGGTCACACTGCCACCTGCAGACGGCGCCGGGGATGCACCCGAGAGATGGGCTGCAGAGGCAGCACTCCCAGCAGTCCAGGTAGGGAAGGGCTGCTGCTGGGAAACGGGAGGAGGGAGGAGGGGCAGCTGCGGCTGTAGGTCGAGCCGCTGCTGGAGATGCTGGAGCTGCTGCTGGAGCTGAGAAAGGAGAAGCTGCTGCCCAAACTGCTGTGACCCCTGCTGCTGACTCCCGGGCTGCTGCTGCTGCTGCTGCTGGGGAGGGGCGAGAGCCTGATGGGCCTGGGTGGAGGAGGAAGGTTCATAGAGGGGAGAGGAACGGACCTCAAGGGGAGTGGGGCGAGGGTTGAGGGCGGACCAGCGAGGAGGGGTACTGGTGTTGCCACGGGCAAACCACTCATCACTGAGTGCCTTGAAGCACGTCTCAGTGGCATGAGTGGTTTGGCCGCAGCGCTGTCCCTGAGTGGGGCCGTAGCGAGGCAGGTACTGACAGGGAGGAAAGGCAGCTGCTGCACCACGACCCGCACTACCGCTACTCGTGCCACCGCGACCCGCGGATCCGCCTCGTCCACCCCGTGGGAGGAGGAGGTAGGTGAGAGCTCGCGTTTGAGGGAGGAGGGGATGGTGGCGAGAAGAATGGCAAGCGCGCGTCGATCAGCAACCCGCCAGGCAGTAATTTTCGTGGTGTAGTCTGCAAGTTCTGCAGTGCAGGTGTCCAGGTCCTCCTGGTACTTGTTGTAGCGGGCAGTGGCGTCGTCATAGATGCGCCTGTCGTCCTCGTAACGCAATTGCAGGCGCAGGTGCTCTTGGAGATTGGTGCGGTAGGTGCGAATGGCGGTTTCCGAGCTTTGCGGGTCGTTGACATTCGGCGCAAAGGTGGGAGGATCACCGGGGGGAGAGGGCTCGGCGCCAGGGTGGGCAGGGGCAGGTCCAGTAGGAGCGGTGGGGGCCACGGGCTGAAGTCCACCGCCTTCCTGAAAGACAACCGAGCGAAGGTTGTAGCCGCTGACCACAACAGAGGAGAGGAGCACCTCGACGGAATGAGCATAAGAGTGCCAATTAGCAGCAGAGTTGTCAGGCAGCAACTCGAGTGCGTCAACAGTGGCAGGGTCGACGGAAGAATCGGACGACGATGCCATAGAGATGAGGGTGGGCAGAGGCTAGGGCAGGAGGAGGATGGTGCGAGGGTACCGTTGCCAGTGCTGCTGCTGGCCCTGCTGCCCGTGCCGCTGCTTGTTCTGCAGCTGGTGCTGCTGCGGATGCTGCTGCGGGTAGGATGGGAGGAGGAGAAAGGGAGGAGCGGAGGGTGGGGAAGGTGGAGGAGGAGGAGGGCGATGCTATGGGGGATGCAAGGGGGGAGGGTGCTGCTGGTGGTGCCGCTGCAGGTGCTGCTGCTGGTGCTGCTGCAGGTAGGATGGGAGGAGGAGGATGGTGGAGGAGGAGGGCGATGCTATGGGGGAGGCAAGGGGGAAGGGTGCTGCTGCTGGTAGGATGGGAGGAGGAAGGGAGGAGCGGAGGGTGGGTTGGGTGGAGGAGGAGGAGGGCGATGCTATGGGGGAGAAAAGGGGGGAGGGTGCTGCTGGTGGTGCCGTTGAGATGCCGCTGATGATGCTGCTGCGGGTACAATGGGAGGAGGAAGGGAGAGAGGGGGGGGGGGGGAAGGCGATGCTGCGGGGGGGGGGGACGAGGAGGGCAGCCGTGCGGCAGATCCGCGCGGCTGGGAAGCCCGTGGCGAACGCACGCGGGACAGTCCGCGGCAAACGAGCGGGACGTGCAGAGATGGGCGCGAAATGGTCAGATTTCAGCGCGGGAGATGCAGATCTGGTCGCGCGGAGGGCAGATATGGTCGCGCGGAGGGCAGATCTGGTCGCGCGGAGGGCAGATCTGGTCGCGCGGAGGGCAGATCTGGTCGCGCGGAGGGCAGATCTGGGCGCGCGGAAGGCAGATCTGGTCGCGCAGAGGGCAGATCTGGGCGCGCGGAGGGCAGATCTGGGCGGGCGGAGTGCAGATCTGGGCGCGCGGAGTGCAGATCTGGGTGCGAAATGTTCAGATCTGGGTGCGGGAGGAGGAGATCTGGTGGCGCGGAATCCAGATCTGGCGCGGAATGATCAGATCTAGGCGCGGGAGGAGTAGATCTGGTCGCAGGGAGTGCAGATCTGGGCGCTGGAGTTGCAGATCTGAGTGCTGGAGTTGTAGATCTGAGCGCTGGAGTTGCAGATCTGAGCGCTGGAGTTGCAGATCTGAGCGCTGGAGTTGTAGATCTGAGCGCTGGAGTTGCAGATCTGGGCGCGTGAAGGGAGGGCAGCTCCGTGGGTGGGGCTAGATCTGAGGAACGGGGAGGAGAGGGTGGCCTAAGGACCGAGGGAGGAAGGCGTGAGCCATTAGCTCATGATACCATGTTAGAAGAGAGAGAATTGATACATTACATAATGAGCCAAGAGGCCCTTTAGTACAAACAATGAGCAAGAGAGAGATGAGAGGGAAGCTTACCCTATTGGCCAATAAGTTGGCCAATGGGTGAGCTTGCTTGTGGCCCAAGCAACCACAAATGTGTGTTGGTTGGGATTGGTTGAGCTAAGGACCAATCCCAACCAACCACAAAATGTGGTTGGAGGGTACACTAAGCAACCCCCCAATTTATAAATGTGCTACACTTCTAGCCTATGTATGTTGTATAAAATATGAAATTACAACATCAAAAGTCTTCTCCTTTTGAGACGTCTCAAAAGTCTGAGCATGTTATCTCTCTCCTCCTCCCACCTGCTCATGTTATCCCACCTGCTCATGTTATCCCACCTGCTCATGTTATCCCACCCTCCCCTCCCCACCTCCCTCACCCCCCTCCCCTCCCTCTGTGCACCGCCCATCCACTTACACTACTCTCAAAAGCCAATTTCTACTCTCGCCTGCTCTCACCTCCTTTTTGTTTGAGGTTGATTTTGAGAATTCTCAAAATCAACCTCAAAAGCCAATTTCTACTCTCGCCTGCTCTCACCTCCTGAACCCCCCCACCCACCCATTTTCAGCTCGCCACCCCATCAGTCTCTCTTCTCGTCCGTGCGAGAGGTCGGCCCCGCTCAGCAGCTCGCTCTCCCTCACCTGCACTCTTCTTCTCAGCGTGTTGCTCACTTATCCCAACTCTCCCCTTCTCCTCCCTTTCACCACCCCATCAGTCTCTCTTCTCGGAGTGGTCGGCCCTGTCTCTCTCTACCACCCATCCACTCCCTCTACTCTCACCCCAATCTCTACACCACCCCAATTTTTCCCCCCACAGTCTCTCTTCTGGTCTGTGAGAGTGGTCGACCCCGTCTCTGTGCACCGCCCGCCAGCTCGTGCCGCCCGACCTCTGCCGCCCGACTTTCTGATTCTCAGGCTGTGGCAGCAGGTGGGTTCAGTTATTATGGCAGGTGGGGTGGCAGGCAGGCGGGATGGGCAGCAGGGGGGTGGGTGTATTCCAGTGGTTGGGTGGGGTGGGGTGGGGTTATTGAAACAAATGAGAATCAAATCAGGGTATGATGGAATTTGTGGGGATCGGGGAGGGCGTGGCAGCAGGGGGGTGGAGCGATGGCCACAGGAAAGGCAACAGGGAATAGCAGACATGATAACGCTACTCTTCAAGCCTCTACTCCCACCGCCCTTGTTGTTGTTGTTGTTTTGAATTCAGAGAATTCTCAAACCTTTTGCAGTCCCTCTCCCCCTGCCACTTCCTCTCTGCCCCTTCTCTTCCTGACCTCTTTTTCCCTTACCCCTTTTCTCTCCAACCAACAGGTCGACGTCCCACTCATTGTCTACGTGCATCCTCTCTCCCTCTTCTGGCGCTCCTGCCGCCACCTCATCTCCCACCACCGCCCCTTCACTGCTGCCCCCCTGTCCCTGTACACTTTCCCCCTGCCTGCCCGTTTCCTGCCTGCCCCATTTCTCCCTGTCTCCTTCCGTCCCCCAACCAACAGGTCAACGTCCCACTCATTGCCTACGTGCATCCACTCTCCCTCTTCTGGCACTCCTGCCGCCACCTCATCTCCCACCACCGCCCCTTCACTTCTGTCCTTCTCTCCTCTGTCCCCCTTCTCCCTACAGGTCGACATACCTCTCATTGCCTACGTGCATCCCCTCTCCCTCGTCTGGCGATCCTGCCTTCAGCTCCCCCCCCCCCCCTTCACTGTTATCCCTCTCTCCCTACCCCTTCTCTCCCTACCCCTTCTCTCCCTACCCCTTCTCTCCCTACCCCTTCTCTCCCTACCCCTTCTCTCCCTGCCACCCTTTCCCCTGGCTCCCTTATCCCTCTGCTCCAACCCCAACCAACAGGTCGACATCCCACTCATTGCCTACGTTCATCCCCTCTCCCTCTTCTCCCACCACCGCCCCTTCGTTTCTGCTCACCTCCCAACCCCCCTGTCTCCCTCCCGTCCTCCCCCCCCCTCAATATCCACAGACCGACATTCCACTCATCGCCTACGTGCTTCCCCTCTCCCTCTTCTGGCGCTCCTGCCTCCAACTCTTCTCCCACCACCCCCCCTTCGCCGCCGCCTCTCTCTCCCTGCCTGCTCCCATACCCATGCTCCCCACTCCCTGTCCCCCTCTCCCCCCCAAATATCAACAGGTTGACATCCCACTCGTTGCCTACGTGCATCCCCTCTCCCTCTTCTGGCGATCCTGCCTGCAACTCTTCTCTCACCATCGCCCATTTGCCGCCGCCCCTCTCTCCCTGCCGCCTGACCGCTTCTCCACCTCCACTCTCCTCCTCGCTCCCTCAGAGAACCTCTATCAGGTGCGTCTATTCTAAATCCCTCATTGCCAAGTACGTTGTCACGGTTTCATGCTCCGCGCCCCTCTCTCCCTTCCCCGGACCGTTTCTCCACCGCCACTCTCCTGCTCGCTCCCTCAGAGAACCTCTATCAGGTGCGTCAAGGTTGCATGTGCGCTCTCTATGCCTCGTGCTCTCAGCTCCCTGCAGCCCTCTCCTCTCTCTCCCTTCCCCGGACCGTTTCTCCACCGCCACGCTCCTGCTCGCTCCGAAACTTCTCCCTGTCTCATTGTTTCGTTCTTTCTTCCTTCCTTTCCCCTTCCTTCTCCCCATCCCCTTCACCCCTTGCCCACCACAGGCCTTCATGACTCGTCTATCATCGCCTCTCTTTCCGACCGACTCGGTAAACCATTTCCTAAACGCCGCGTACTCTTCCTGGTACACCTCCCCTCCAGCCCACCGCCTCTCCCTCTCATACGCCACGCCTCTCGCTCTCAAGCCCTACACGCTACCCTTCCTCGCCCCGTTCCATATAATCACATTCGACGGCGCTGTGCCTCCTTATGGGAACATGGTGGAGTGGAGGGGGCAGCCTAGGTTCCGGGTTGTGCTTGTATGGAGGAAGATTTTATGTGGCTTGCCTGCGGAACTGCGCACTTCCAAATTTAGGAAGTTGTGTAGATGAATCTTTGTTAACATACCATAACAAACTTTTGCAACAAACTTCTGCAGACTTCCTGTCCAACCCATTCTATTCAAATTTATTTTACCAGGAAAGCGCTACAACTTCTAAGATGCAATTATGTGTTCGTTTTGTAGTAAATTGGTGTTATTTTCATATTGCTACAACGATGCGGAATAGTTCCCAAATGTGTTTAACTATGTGTTTACATAATTCCTAAACAACCCTGAACAACTAGGGTCTGAAATCCAATGGTTAATGAATGTGAAATAGCAGTAACCATTTTGGTAGGCTTATATGTTTAATTTCTTGAGCGATGGAACTGGGGCTTCTTCTAATGCGAACAAAAGCGAAAGCAACTCCCAGGAAGGACACCAATTCGGGGGCGGGAAGATGGTGAAGAAATATTCCCACATGGCCGCAACTAGCGTGGCCAATAGCGACGCAGCGCTGTCCGAGACAACATCCCCCAGCATGCCGTGTCGGCACAGAAATTTCTCGAATTTCAAATGGCGCGTGGGACATTTGATTTTCTTCTTCTCTTCCCCTTCGCACGACATTCCATCCACGATTGCTCGCAAAGAGGCTGCGCTGGTCATGCTCGGAGCACCCACACCAGACTCTGTCCCATGGCTGCGCACATTTGTAGTGTCACTTCCTCGACAACAATAAAAGCTATATCTTGCTGTTTCCCGTGTGTGCTTCGATTCCTTTTTGCTCCCAAGCGCGTAATGTCCTGCTCCTGCTCAGCCCCTCCTCTCTTCTCATGCTCCTGCTCATAGCTTTCATCTAATATGAGCCCTCGTTAGCCTTTTCAACCGTATGAAACATACTATGCCGTAATTCATTCATTGCGTAGTTCACAGTAGTAATACTATGCCGTGACGGCTCATATTTACTGGTATTAGAGCTGAACCTTCCCTCCTCCTCCGAAATTTCTCAGCAGCATTTACGCCTCAAAAGCACGAGTCAAACGACGTATCATAGCTGCTACCACTTGCATCGCCTAATTGATGGCGATATCGATATGCACGCGCTTCTCGTTGCGCCACCTCCCGCTCGCGCTCCTCGTGCTTGCGCTCATTACTCCCATCGCGCCCGCGCTGCTGATTCTCGCTCTGGTCTTCACCGCGTCGCCCGCTGACGGCGTCAAGTGCGGCGGAAAACGCGGACCATATGAGAGCGAACGAGACTCGTTGGAGTACGAATCGTCGAACATGTAAGCTCTAAAAAAGATTGTCGCATTCTGTGTGATTGAAACACACCCAGGGGTCAACCCTGACCTTAAAATTGTGTATGTGGTACGAATTTCGTCGCTGGAAAACAATTCCCTTTTGAGTGCAGTCGTTCCCGTATCCTGGTCGCTGATAACACTATTTCGCCATTCTTAATGCGAGTAACCGTCCACTTTCGTTCCCTGAAACAGGAGCACAAGTCGAATGAAGAACTACCAACCTCACTCGGCGATTTGGTGCTGAAACATTCTCGCAACCCTACTATCCCGCTCATCCCCGCTACAAGCACTCTCGCTGCTACCAACCCGACTCCACAAACTGGTGATGACCGCACTGCGGCTGCGAGACGTTACAGCGTTACGAATTTGCGGCATCGTGGCTTTGCCGGGTTGCGACGGGCGCCCTTGCAGCACGAAATGCTCGGGAATTCACGATACGCGAAAGAATTTCAATCATGCGAAATTCCTGCATAGTACTAGAAACGCGCTTTCTCAGAAACACACATTTAGCAGACTTGCTACTGGCGCCTCCTTTTCCTCCTGCTGCTACCATCTCGTAGCCAACGTGGTGCGTGGCGGGAAGATCAGGCCGCACACGGGAAATTGATGTCGCATTTGCTTTCAGGTCTCTAGTTTGGGTGAGGTGGCGGGAAAATGATGATCAGGCAGGGGGCTGTTGTACGAGGCTAGGCTAGTGAGTTGTGTTTTGATGGATCAGGTGCTAGTAACATACTAGCAAGTAAAAAAACTTGATTTCATCCACCTGTACAACATATGGAAAAACAAGATTAGGCAGCTGTATTGCAGAAGCAGCTAAAATAACTCAAATACTGCAATCATGAAAAGTGATTACTGCTATTTTTCAAACTAGATTGTTTATTACCTAGCATGACCAGAAACAGGATTACCAATATGCACAATAGCATTATCAATACAATAGCAATTTCCCAATTTTGGTATAGCACGAGCAATGCCCAAGCTTCCTGCAACATCCACATGCATAGTCTACAGCCAACATCATCAGCATTATACGAGGGAAATCAAATTAGGTGCTTGATTTGCGCTTGTCCTATTTGTCGCATATATTTGCGATCATGTCCACGCATGTGTACATCTGGAGAGCATAGAACCCTTACACTTCACATGGTACATGGTTGACAATGGTATTTTGAAGCTCGTTCTTGAGACCTTGAACTCTTTGAGATGGTTGCCATAACGAGTCTACACTTCTTCCATCTGTACACCACACCCTGCAGTCTACCACACTCTCCTCTCCTCTATGAAGAAGCTCCCTGTAACGGATACAAGAAAAGAGGCTGGAAAGTGTGTTTTGGGGTGTGGGTTGTGGGAAGTGGAATGGGGTTTGAAAGGGGAGGGAGGAAGATGATAAGGAAAATGCTTTCTTCCCCTGGATGAAGAATATTCCATTGACGAGTATGGGAAGATTGGAGGCAGGAGGGTGTAGTTGGGGCGTGGGTCAGGGGAGGAGGCAGGATAGGTGTGGAAGGAAAAGGGTTGGTGGGTAGGGCGTGGGGTGGGGGAGGGGGTGCTTTGCGGTAAAAAAGGGAGGAAGATAATGCGAAGGTAAAGGAGAGGAACAAATGGTGGAATTGAAAAGGGTTTTAGATCAAACACTATATTCTGTATAAGAGAGTCTACCAATATAAAGAAGAGGAAATGGCAAGGTGAGAAAGAAAGGGCACGGGCGAAGAGAGGACACTGCGGGTGTACGGTCGTTTGTATGATCATGACCGCATTGTATCGCACCGCACCACACTGGCGGGCAGTGGGCACCAGTGCAAGCCATCAAAATCCACCACATCTCACCAGAAACTCACCGCACAGCACCGCATCACACACCTGTCTATCTTGGCAACCAAGCCTGGATCGGGATCATGCACGAACAGGAAGGGACCTCCCCCAGAAGAACCTTCCTCAGAAGCACCTCCTTTAGAAGCACCACCAACGACTGATGCACCTCCCTCAGAAGCAGCTTTCCCGGTCATGTTTTGCCAGAGGGAAGGGTTGACTGGAGGCATCTGCAATGGGGATAAAGAGAGGGGGAAAGGTAGGCGTGTGTGAGTACGTGCATGCACCAAGGGTGAGAGAGGCACCAACGTTGGAAGGGGCATCTCGTCCCCCTCCCCCACCTCCCCCAGAAGCACCTCCCCTACCTCCCCCAGTCATGTCTTGCCAGAGGGAAGAGTTGAAAGGAGGCATCTGCAATGGGGTTATAGAGAGGGAGTAGGGATAAGCATAACTGTGGCACGAGTAGGAAGGAACCTCCCCCGGAAACACCTTCCTTAAAAGCACCTTCCAATCTCCCCCAGTCGTGTTCTGCCAGACAGCCCAGTCAAACCGACCATGGGATGGGCCTGTCACAATGACTGACTGTGAAAGTCCATGTATGTGCTTGTAACGAATCCCCATGCAACTGACCTCGTGCCCCTGTGTGACTGTAAAGGGCGGGAAGTGCAGGCCACTGTTCACGACCGTGTGATTGAACCGGGCGGCCTGGCAGGCGGCGGTTGGCATGTAGTGCAGGTGGGGCGAGAGTGTGTCTCCCAGGAACATGAGCATTCGGCGTGGGATCGCGTGTGGTTCGTCGATCAGGTAGCGGATGAACGGCCGAGATGCGAGCAGAGGGAAGGAGCCTGCGAGTGGGGATGAGGAGGGGGGGGAGGAGCAGGAGGAAAGGAGCAAGAGGGGCAGGAGGGAGGATCAGAAGGACATGGGCAGGGAAGGTCGAGAGGGAAGAGGAGCAGGAGAGGAGAGGAGCAGAAAAGGGGGGGAGCAAAAAGGGGAGGAGCAAAAAAGGGATGAGCAGAAGGGGCAGGTGCAGAGGGGGTCTTGAGGACGAGAGGGTGGATGGATGGACGGCCGAGATTTGAGCAGAAAGATCCAAGGGTGAACATGAACGGAGCGACGGAGCAAAGAACCAACGATTCAATATTTCCACCGACTGCAACCTTCGTTATACTCACCAGTGTACACCTCGAATCTGGTAACCCTATCGCGCATATCGGCAATCCACCGTCCCCCCCGCCGCCTCTCAAACAACGCATTGTCTGCAAAAACGCTCTCCTGGCGGTAGCTGGTTCGTTAAGGGGGATGGGGGGAGAGGGAAGTAAGGAAAAGAGGGATGGTAAAGGGGTAAAGGGGGAAGGTAGGACAAGCAGGGAGAGCGATCCATCACCCCCCCCCCCCCCCCCCGCCTCTCAAACAGCGCATTGTCTGCAAACACTTTCTCCTGGCGGTAGCTGGTTGGTGGAGAGGCGGAGGTAGGGGGCAGAGGGACGAGAGGGAGGGCATGAGAGGGAGGGGATGAGAGGGAGGGGATGAGAGGGAGGGGATGAGAGGGAGGGAAGACAGGGGTAGAGAACCATCATCCTCCCTCTGTGGTGAGTCTGTTTTTTAGTCGACTCCATAAAGCCAAGACAACTCAGTCAAACGGCAGCCCTAGTCAACAAAAGTCAACTCAAGTCAACTCACTCGAAACGGTGGTCAACCGCATGGTCCATGAAGGAGAGGCTCGTTAAAGTCAACTCAAGTCAAGAGAGGTCAACGCAGGTCAACCCAAAACAGCCACTCACTCGAAACGGTGGTCAATCACATGATCCATGAAGGAGAGGGTCGTTCAAATCAAGGCGAGTCAACAGCAGTCAACAGCAGTCAACTCACTCGAAGCGGTGGTCAACCACATGATCCATGAAGGAGAGGCGAGGCGAAACGGAGGAGAGAAGCCAGAGGAGCTCTGGCGAGGAGGGAAGGGGGGAAAGAGAATGAGGAGGGGAAGGTGAGGGTGGGGTTGATGGGAAAGGGGACGAGGGGAGCAGGAAGAGCGCAGCAAGGAGGCACATGGCGGCATGGAGGGGAGAAGCAAGGGGATCTCTGGTGAGGAGGGAAGGGGGGGAAAGCGAAAGGAGAGTGGTGCTGTGCGGTTCTAAGTTGAGTCGAACTGAGCTGAGTTAAATGAACAGGAAGAGGGGAGCATGGAGATATATGGTGGCATGAAGGAGCATGGGCTCACCACCACTCAGAACCGCACAGCACCACTCTCACCATCCTGTGTCACCACGAGGCAAACCTCTGCACCCAGAAGCACCTTTCATAGCCATTCCCGCTTACACAGCCTTACCCTCCCCACCGCTCATCACCGCATAGCACCGCTCACCATCCTGTGTCACCAGCGGGTAATCCTCTGCGCCCAGCAGCACCAGCCACTGCCATCCACTCGCTCCGCCTCTCCTCTTCCCCTCTTCTACGCTCCTCTTCTCCCCCTCCCCCAATCCCTTTTCGCTCCCCTTTCTTCCTTTCTCCCCCTCCCCTTTCCCCTCCTTCCCTTCCCCCTCTCCCTGCCCCTCCTTCCCCACCGCCTCCCCCTCCCCCTCCGCTTCCGCTTCCGCCTCCCCTTCCGCCTCCCCCATGCGCAGCAGCGTGTGCGCCAGGCGCAGCAGCGCAGCCAGGCGCGACCCGCCCTCTACAGTCACAATCTCCGGATCCTCAATCACGCGTATCCGTCCCGTTAAAGTCACATATTCCCCACTCCTGCCTGTTTCCGTCACCTCCGCCGCCCCTGCTGCTTCCACTGCTGCCGCCAGGACGGGGTGGTCGGCGAGTTTTGTCCGTAGCGCGAATGCTGAGTCAGCATCGTCTATGTACACGGCATAGAGGTTCCGGGGATGGTAGGTGGCCAATAGGAGGCGATAGATTCGATCCGTGTCGTTTTTCGAACCTGCGTGGGGAGAAAGGAAGCGGAGAGAGGGAGGGAGAAGGATGAGGGAGGAGGAGGGAGGGATGAGAGAAAGTGCACGAAAGTGAGGGAGGAAGGGGAGGGAGTGTCGGTTCTTGGAACCTGTGTGGAAGAGACGGGTTTAGGAGTGCTATTATTGTGAGGGTCACTACTCTCTTAGAATGAAATGACGGAGCATGTGCGCGTATGCGCTGTATCCGCGCACGTGCCATATCGGCGCACGTCTCGCATCCGCGCACGCGCCGCATGTGCGTAAGGGCCTCGGGAAAGGTAAAGGAGGCAGCATCTCCGCGCACGTGATGCATGCTGATGTTACTTTTGAGAATTCACAAATGTAACATCAACGTGATGCATGCGCGCATGTCATGTATTCGCTTACGTACCCATGATTCCATACGCGAGGGACGGGACGAAATCCTCGTTATTAGCCTCCCTCAGCACGCTCGCAGATCCCCGAAGCTTCCCAGAAGCTACGAGGGCGCGCAGCATCGGGAAATCCCAGGGATCCCCCTCCCATATCGAGGTGGATGTGCTTAAAAATAAAATGTTACACAAAAGAAGTGTGCATATAACGAGGTAGATCGCGAGTTCTCGCACGCTGTGCTCGCCTAGGATCGCGAATTTCGTCGGCAACGGGTTACCAGCGCTGGAACCGTGCGCTGGTTGCTCGTGTGCGAGCTTCGCCATGTTCGTCACAATCTCGTTTGTCCGACTAATAACTCGTTATATGGCGACCCGATACACGTCCAGCATATGCAGAATGTTCAAGTAAGACTAGCAGCGGGCTACACGGAACGTAGTAGTGAATATTAAACGAAGCGGACAGGACGGAGAGTAACGACACGATCGATGCCTGTGCAAATAGAGCTGGGTACGAAACGCTGCTTGGCCGTCATTAATACTGACGTGGCAGGCGGACACGAGCCGCAAAAAAAAAAAAAAAAAAAAAACTCACTACGCTCTGACGCAATCTGTAATTTAGGACCGGGTCAGACTTTATCTCCTGTGTAACGAAATTACTAGGTGGTGCGTAGAACTAATTTCTGTACGGAGTAGTTCTAGCGACACGATAGTAGTACAAATTTCTGTCCGTGGGGCTGATTTGTTCTGCACGCAGCCATCCAGATTCTTGCCAAGGCAAGGTAACCGATTGACTAGGGTAGGGTGGGAGGGGAGGGGAGTTTGTTTATCGAGCCGCATTGCTATCCAGTGGGGCCTGTGATAGAAACGATATCAGCTGGCGCCTTGTGACTAGTGTTACTAAAGCGAGACCCTTGCTCTGGTCGAAGCCACCCAAGGTTCGCTCGAACCGGCTGGACCTAATCGGGTTAGGTTTGACCACCAGCCGCCAACCAATACGAGCGAATATGTTTGGCTCGGATAGATCACTGATTGGTTGTGCGCATCACAAGCAACCATACGAACCTCGCTTGGCGGCTTGACGGTGCGCGTTCATTCCAAAGTGGTGCAGCATTTGTGAGTGAAACGAGATCATTAGTTCAAGATAGAATGAACCATCTCACTTCCATTCATGCGTACCAGGAAAGGAAGTATGGATAATATGATGTATAGAATATGTTTTAGCCGAGTATTCCTCCTAATACGTCAGCAAACCGACACCTCCTTCCAAAAGGGCCTTTGCTAGGCTGTTGTGAAGGTCATTGCCTAACGATACCACCTAATGACGCATAAAAACGTACTGAACCGCACTGCACTAAGCTTGCTCGGCTGACGTACCCCATCAGGTTCACAATAGAACCTAATAAAACCGCATCAAAGTGAATGCGACGCGCCAATAAGACAGCAGTACCCGTCAGCACACAGACAGATTCGTCGTAAGTAATTAGAACTCGAAACCGGCTTTCCCAGCCAATCAGAGCCCGTCCCGCACTAGATATCCACCGTCCATAGGCCAACAATCCGCCGTCCGTAGCGCCGTGCGCCGCGCCGTTTATGGCGCACGCGCTTCGTTTCGTGGATTTCGATGGGGGGTTTTCAGCTCGCGTGCTTGGGAATGCGATTCGCGATCCCGTTGCCCCAGGGAGCGGTCCCAGAGGGGAAGCGAAACAATACATGTACTTATCCCGGCCTCCCTTTTTTTCAGTCACACCTATTTTACGGAGCAATATATCTCCTCGTTCCAGACGCACGACGCTAATACTAGAATTACCTACAGTCTCTGCTCTCCGCGCCCACGCTTCTTGGCGCTGAGTTATAATACACGATATAATCTCCGAGCTACAATCAGCAGAATAGTTCTTCTCCCCGCGTTTTATCTTCTGTTTAAGCGAAGCAACCATGGCTACGGTTCGGCCGGTGGGTCTTCCTCCTGGGCGGGACACGGGAGGGACTTCGTCCGTATGGCGTTTCTTCCTCGTTCTCTCCCTTGTCCTTCCCCTCTCGCTCGTCTCTCCCGTGGACTCTAAGAAGATCTTCAGCCCGCGTGAGTTCTGCTGCTTTCTCCCTCCTTTCTCTCGCTCCTCTCTCCCTTCTCGCTCGTCCCTCCCCTCTTTCACCTCTCGCCCCTCTCGCTCCCCTCTCGCTCGTCTCTCCCGTCCATTCCTAGACGATCTTCAGCCCGCGTGAGTTCTGCTGCTTTCTCCCTCCCTCCTCATTCTGTCCTTCCTCGTTCTCTCCCTTGTAGCTCTCCTCTCTCTCCTCTCGCTCCTCTCTCTCCTCTCGCTCGTTTCGCCCGTCCATTCCAAGAAGACCTTCAGCCCCCGTGAGTTGCTCTTTCTAAACTAGTTGCTGGCAACGCTACTATGGCCATGGGTCGGCCTCGTCCTGGGTGACTGGATCGCTTCCCGGCGGCCCAAGGCGACCCAGAGCTAACCAGATCGACCCAGAGCGACCTAGGGCGAACCAGAGCGACTCAGAGCGACCCAGGGCGACCCAGGACCAGTCACCTTCTTGAGGCGAATCACCAGTCGTCGTGGCGGGTGGGTCCCCTCCCTGGACAGGGCGTGCCATGTCAGGGACTTGGTCCATGAGGTTATGTTATGCTACTTTTGAGGTTTCTTCAAAAGTAACATAACATAATAAAAGGGTAGTTTTGAGACGTCTCAAAACTACACTTTTATCACGTGGCTATGTTATGCTACTTTTGAGGTTTCTTCAAAAGTAACATAACATAACACCAGTATAGTTGGCCGGTGGGTCCCCTCCCTGGACGGGGCAGGCCATGCCACGTCAGGGACTTGGTCCGTGTGGCGCTTTATTGGCGTTTTGGGTCGCCTCAAAACACTGCGGGTGGGTCCCCCAGCTGGACGGGACAGGCCATTTCAGGGACTTGGTCCGTGTGGCACTTTAGTGGCTCGTTTAATGGTTCGTTCGTACCCTCTATGTAAGGAGTTTTTGAGAATTCTCAAAAATTCCCTGCTTTAGTGGCTCTTTTAATGGTTCGTTCGTACCCTCTATGTAAGCTGCTGCTCGCTCAGTCTTCCTGAACGTCATAGTGTGCGGTGCCAATAGGCAGATGCACCCGTGCAGATGGCTTCTCTCCTTACCCTCTCCTCTCCCGTTCCCCCTTTCGTCCCTTCTCCCTGGCGTCTTCTCCAGCAACCTCAGCCCCAAGTGCCATGCTTCCTGAACGTCATAGTGTGTGGGACCAACGGCCAGATGTACCCGTGCAGGGAAATGGCTTTTCTCCTTAAACTCTCCTCCTCTCCCTTTCCCTTTTTCGTCCCCTCTCCCTGGCTTCTTCTCCAGTCACCCGCGCAGCCCATAATTCTCTGCTTCCTGAACGTCATAGTGTGTGGGACCAACGGCCAGATGTACCCGTGCAAGGGAGATGGCTCCCAAGGGGATATTCGGCTTACCGTCTCCTGTCCCTTTCCCACCCTTCCCTGCTCACCCATCCCTGCCCTCCACCAGCCCCCGCCCAGCCCATAATCATGTGCTCATTGAACGTCATAGTGCGTGGGGCGAACGGCCAGATGTACCCGTGCAGGGAGATGGCTCCCAAGGGAGTGTGCGGCTTAACGTCGCCTCCCCACCCAACCCTTCCCTGCCCCTCTTCCCTGCCCCTCTTCCCTGCCCCTCTTCCCTGCCCCTCTTCCCTGTCCCTCTTCCCTGTCCCTCTTCCCTGTCCCTCTTCCCTGTCCCTCTTCCCTGCCCCTCTTCCCTGTCCCTCTTCCCTGCCCCTCTTCCCTGTCCCTCTTCCCTGCCCCTCTTCCCTGTCCCTCTTCCCTTCCCCTCTTCCCTGTCCCTCTTCCCTGTCCCTCTTCCCTGTCCCTCTTCCCTGCCCCTCTTCCCTGTCCCTCTTCCCTGTCCCTCTTCCCTGCCCCTCTTCCCTGTCCCTCTTCCCTGTCCCTCTTCCCTGCCCCTCTTCCCTGTCCCTCTTCCCTGCCCCTCTTCCCTGTCCCTCTTCCCTGTCCCTCTTCCCTGCCCCTCTTCCCTGTCCCTCTTCCCTGCCCCTCTTCCCTGTCCCTCTTCCCTGCCCCTCTTCCCTGTCCCTCTTCCCTTCCCCTCTTCCCTGTCCCTCTTCCCTGCCCCTCTTCCCTGTCCCTCTTCCCTGTCCCTCTTCCCTGTCCCTCTTCCCTGCCCCTCTTCCCTGTCCCTCTTCCCTGCCCCTCTTCCCTGCCCCTCTTCCCTGTCCCTCTTCCCTGCCCCTCTTCCCTGCCCCTCTTCCCTGCCCCTCTTCCCTGCCCCTCTTCCCTGTCCCTCTTCCCTGTCCCTCTTCCCTGTCCCCACCAGCCCCCGCCCAGCCCATGATCCTGTGTTCACTGAACGTCATAGTGTGCGGGGCGAACGGCCAGATGTACCCGTGCAAAGAAATGGCGCCCAAGGGAATGGCTACTTCTACCGACCTCACTAAATGTCGCCCCCCTGGAGGTATGTAAGTGTTGAGTGCGGTGCCAGTGGGTGGTGGTGTGCGGTGCCGATGGTTGGGGGCCAATGGGCAGATGTACCCGTGCAGGGAGATGGCGCCTAAGGGAATGGCTACCTCCACCGACCTCTCCAAATGCCGGCCGCCTGGTGGTGAGTGCCGCTCCTAGCCTTAGGTGGTTGCGTGCGGTGGTGTGCGGTGCCAGTGGGTGGTAGTGTGCGGGGCGAACGGCCAGATGTACCCGTGCAAGGGAGATGGCGCCCAAAGGAATGGCCACCACCACCGACCTCTCTAAATGTCGCCCCCCTGGCGGTGAGTTGAACGCGTAACCCTAGGTGTGTTGAGTGCGGTGGTGTGCGGTGCCAATGGGCTGTACCAATGCCAGATGTACCCGTGCAGGGAGATGGCGCCTAAGGGAATGGCTACCTCCAACGACCTCACTAAATGTCGCCTTCCTGGTGGTGAGTTGAACACGGTGGTGTGTGGTGCCAATGGGTGATGATTGCCAGACGTACCCGTGCAGGGAGATGGCGCCTAAGGGAATGGCTACCTCCACCGACCTCTCCAAATGCCGGCCACCAGGCGGTGAGTGCCGCTCCTAGCCTTAGGTGGTTGCGTGCGGTGGTGTGCGGTGCCAGTGGGTGGTAGTGTGCGGGGCGAACGGCCAGATGTACCCGTGCAAGGGAGATGGCGCCCAAAGGAATGGCTACCTCCACCGACCTCACTAAATGTCGCCTTCCTGGTGGTGAGTTGAACACGGTGGTGTGTGGTGCCAATGGGTGATGATTGCCAGATGTACCCGTGCAGGGAGATGGCGCCCAAGGGAATGGCAACTTCCACCGACCTCACCAAGTGCCGGCCGCCTGGTGGTGAGTCCTGCCCGCTCCTAGCCTTAGGTGTTGACTGCGGTGGTGTGCGGTGCCAGTGGGTGGTGGTGTGCGTGCCAGTGGGTGGTGGTGTGCGGTACCAATGGGTGGGTGATGGTGGGTACTTGTAAAGCTCACCCCCTCTCCCTCATCTCCTCCTGACAGATGAGGAGACAAATGACCCTATCTGTCATCTCCTCCCCACCTTTTACTCCAATGACAGATGTGATCGTGACGTGTTTTGAGACGTCTCACAACACAGATGACAGATGTGATGGTGACGCAACGCCGTCGGATTCTCAGCGCAGTGCTATAACCATCCCTGGTGCTCCAAAACTGTATACCTCATTCTCCTCCTCTTCACCTTTTACTCCGATGACAGATGTGATGGTGACGCAACGCCGTCGGATTCTCAGCGCGGTGCTATAACCACCCCTGGTGCTGAGTCGTGTTTTGAGTCGACTCAAAACGTAACCACCCCTGGTGCTCCAAATTCGCAGACCTCACTCTCCTCCTCACCTCCACGTCGCCACGTGTCTCCTCAATATCTTTCCCCCCTCTCACCCCCCCTCTCATCCCCCTCCACACACCCTTTACTCAGATGTGATCGTGACGCCGTCAGAAGCGCAATGCCCCGTTAAAGCCCCCAAGGTGCGTGCTTACACCGATCATAGATTAATGTGTGTAAAAATGGTGGAGGAGTGGGAGAGGCGGGGAATGATGTTTAAGTGGGGGGGAAAGGGGGGTTATGACTGCTGGTGGTTGGGGTGTCGACTAAAGACTGTTCTTTTACAGGTGTGTGCTAGTGACGGGAGGAACTACCCCTGTGCTGACGTGGCACCCAAGGGGCTGCTGACAACGACTGACCTCAGTGCTTGCCAGACACGTAAGTGTTTTTGCTGCACCAATTGCTTCCTGCCACGTGGACATGCAAGAATGACACATCACTCCAGCTCGCACTTGAATTTTAAGGAAAATAATATTCAAGTTTTTCTCTTTCGGACCTCCATCTCTCACTTCCTTTCCTGTTCCTCTCCCTCCACCCAATCCACAGCTGCCACGTGTCCCTGGTCCACGTCAGCATACAGCAAATCCAGCCTGGCACTCTTGGCCACTGCATGCAGCACCCTCAATCCCTCCTCCTCTTCCTCCTCCACACCACTTCCCATCACCTCCTCTCTGATTGGCTGTTGTGCTGCCACGTCAGCGCTCCTCCAATCCACCGCCATCGCCACGGCAAAGGTTAAATCGCCGAGGGTAAATACCCCTGCGGTTTACGATGCCCGTGCCGGGCAGTGCATGAAAGAGTTTGTACCCTTTGTACAATCGCCCAAAGCGGCATTCGCAGCAGCTACAGCAGCAGCAGCTGCTGCACTTTCTAAGTTTAATCCGGTGCTACAGTGCGGGCGGTTGGGGTTTGGGGCGGCACAATTTGGACTGGAGGGAGGCAAGGGGGCGTGCAGGGGGATTACTACGGAAGCCCAGGTGAGAGGGGAGTGTGAGAGGAGAGGGAGAAGGGCGGGTTTGATGCAGTGTGAGAGGGAAGAGAGAGGAGTGAAGAGGGATGAGGGAGGGGAGAGATGGGCAGAGAAACGGGCAGAAAAGGAGGGCAAGGGGGCGTATGGAGGGTTACCACAGAGTCCGAGGTGAGAGGGAGTGTAAGAGGGGGTGTGAGCAGGAACACCCACTACCTTTCTCCCCCCAATCTTCCCCCTATCTCCCATTACTCCCCCCATTCTTCCCTGCGGTCTTCACCAGCTCACATCCGCGTTAAAAGCTTCCCCAGTATGGTGGGTGAGCAGCTACATGAAAAAGGACTGCAGCAGCACCACGGGCAGCAATGGCCGCTGCTCAGACTGTGCCAAGCAAGTGTCTACCCTCTTTGGTGAGTCTCTATGTGTGTGAGCCATGTGTCTGTGTGTTTGTAATTCGGTAAGACTGCAGCAGCACCATGGGCAGCACGGGTCGCTGCTTGGACTTCGCAAAACAAGTCTCTACCCTCTTTGGTGAGTCTGTTGGTGCTTGTGATTCCACTAACAAAAACACACAGCGAGTGAGTCCTAAAATGAGTCATTCCTAATGAGACTTCTAAAAACACTCCATGGGTCACAGACAGTCAGATTCCAAACCACCACACTCCGAACCACCACACTCCGAACCACCACACTCCGAACCACCACACTCCGAACCACCACACTCCGAACCACCACACTCCGAACCACCACACTCCGAACCACCACACTCCGAACCACCACACTCCGAACCACCACACTCCGAACCACCGCACTCCGAACCACCACACTCCGAACCACCACACTCCGAACCACCGCACTCCGAACCACCGCACTCCGAACCACCACACTCCGAACCACCACACTCCGAACCACCGCACTCCGAACCACCACACTCCGAACCACCGCACTCCGAACCACCACACTCCGAACCACCGCACTCCGAACCACCGCACTCCGAACCACCACACTCCGAACCACCACACTCCGAACCACCACACTCCGAACCACCGCACTCCGAACCACCACACTCCGAACCACCACACTCCGAACCACCACACTCCGAACCACCACACTCCGAACCACCACACTCCGAACCACCACACTCGTCCACCGCACTCGTCCACCACACTCGTCCACCGCACTCGTCCACCGCACTCGTCCACCGCACTCGTCCACCACACTCGTCCACCGCACTCGTCCACCGCACTCGTCCACCCCCTCCCTTTTTTTTTTTTTTTTTTCTCTCCTTCCATCACCCTAAACCCTGGGAACACACGATGACTCAGAAGCAGCGCTGCAGGGCTTCAATCTCCTACTGTGAGGGGTCTGTGACAACCAGCTGCCCTACTCCAGGCGTCACGTGCTCACACGCTTGCTCGTGAACCCCAAACCCTCTTCCCTCACTTTTTCCCTCCTCTGCTCACCCCTCCTTGCCAGATGCCCTTGTTCGCCCCGGGGACTCAGTGCCTCAGAAGCAGCGCTGCTGGGCTTTAATGTCCTACTATGCCGCGTCTTCACTCGGCAACTCCACTGCCCAAAGCAACGGCATCGCTTTCTGCCTGCATAAGAACGCTCCTGCCTCCCTCCTGCCTCCTGGGACCAGCATCAAGACAGCCACTATCACGGCGCCTACTATTAAGCCTGCGGCGACTGTTAAGCCTCCTAGTCTGCCTCCTGTCAAGCCTACTATTAAAGCCGCTTTCGACGCTGCTGATTTCCAGCCAATCGGAGACACCCTTCCACGTCAGCAGGTCCTGGATGCTTCCCCAACCTCCACCTTCCGCGCCGCAGCCGACACGTCACCAAGCGCCAGCTCAGCGCCGTCCACGTCAGTGCGGTCCACGTCAGCAACGGCGATAATCCTCGCCAGCGTGGCGCTGGCGGTTCTGCTGGTAGCAGTCGTGGCAGCTACAATCCTAGCTGTGAGGGGCGCACGGCACCACATGCACAGGCAGCGACTCGCCTCCTCCATCTCTGTCTATCCTAGTGGTTCCGTCTCCGCTGCGGCTTTAAGTGCCGGCACGCCCCTTAAAGCCTCGGTTTCGAGGTCGGAGGCGTGGGGCGGGTCGGAGGATCGGGGTGGGTCGTCGGGAGTGAGTGAGGGAGGGTTGTCGAGGGAGGGATCTGTGTCTTCCTTGGTTGGCTTGATGGGGGGTGCTGCTGCAAGTGATGTGTCTCACTCTCCTGCAGCAGCAGCAGTGCCGGTAGCATTGGAATTGCAAGCCGCAGCGCCATCACCATCAGCATCACCAGCGGCAGCACCAGCACCAGCAGCAGCGGTGGGGAAAGACGTGCGTGCATCACGATTTGTTATGGATGCAACTGCAGCCGCACCCGCAATGCCAGAAGCAGCAGCAACCACAGCAACAGCTGGAGGTGCAACAGCAGCGGCAGCACCTGCAGCAGCAGCGGCGGCGGCTGCGGCGGCGCGTAAGCCTGTCCTCCCTCGCCTGGCAAGCGCACTCTCTACCGGCTCGTTTGCTAGCAGCTTTCACTCCCCTGTGCGGCGCCGGGCACCTGTGCTTGCTGCTGCTGCTGCTGCTCCTCCTTCCACCCCTATCAAGCTGGCGGCACCCAAGGGAGTTGAGAAGTAGCAGTGTGAGGGAGGGGATGGCAGGTGAGTTGATCAGTGGAGCAAGCTGAACGGGCAGATAGAGTGATAGAGAAACGGGGATAAGGCAGAGGGTGGATGAGGCAGTGATGGGGGGTTGTGAAGTGAGGGAAGAAAGAGCAGCAGAGGAGCAGAGCAAGCAGCCAGTCACAGAGGTTAGACTAAGGCATTGGTGGAGTGAAGGGTTAGCATTCGGTCGGGAAGCGAGGCGCACTAAGTTATTTCGTAGAGTTTCTATCCCGGATTACCGGTAGTTTTGTTTTCGGTCGCAACATGTTCAGTGCAGGATATACAGTGGAAAAATGGAGAGTGCAAGGCTCTGTTAGTGCTGTAGACTATGTGTGGATGTTGTGTGAAGCCTTGGCACTGCTCGTGCTAGAATCCACGTTAGGAAAACTGTGTGTGTTCTTTATGTTTGTGCTTGTTAATGCATCTTTTTTAACCAGTTCTGCTATCGGTTCCGTACTTGTTTTTTTTTATTCTCCAGTACTGTTCTAGTACTTGCACTGCACAATTGGAGATCTTGCTCTTTATGTTCACATCATGCTGTCAAATTATATATATGCTATATATGTTTAGGCTATAGTGGGGTAGCCAATATGGGGTAAAGCCCCTTAAGGGTTTCATACTTACACAACTCTTTCCTAGTTCATTCATTCCTGCCTAGCATTTCAGACATGGTTTCAGAGCAGTAGGTCCGTAGGACCGTCTTACTTCGGGCCCACCTACCGTTGCGGTTACCACGCTGCCCCACCTGCCTTGCCTGCCTGGCATGCGCTGCGCCTCACGCGCGCGCCCTGCCTTGCCTGCGCTGTGCTGCCCGCGCGCGCTGCCTTTTTTTTCGCGCGCGCCACTCTAGCAGCCCGCGCAGCCCGCTGCTGCCCCGCGCGCCGCCTTAGGAGCCCGTGCACGGCCCGCTGCTGCCCCGCGCACCGCCCTAGCCACTTGCGCGCCGCCCCAGCAGCTCGTGCGCCGCCACTACAGCCTTGCGCGCAGCTTCTCCTGGCCTGCACTCTGCTTTGCCGCCTGCGCGCTACTCTTGCCTGCGCTGCAATCATGGCGACTCTAAATGTCCTCGCTTTCGATCCTGACGGTCGCCCGATAGAGTTTGCCACCTGGCTCGACGACCTGCAACTGTTTCTTATGACTGATGCCAAGGACGGTGTTTCATTGTTCGATCACGCGTCTGGCACTGCCGTTCCTCCTGCTGACACTGCTACTGCTTTCGACCGCTCACAGTGGCAGACCCGCGATGCTGCTGCGCGCCTCGCTATTCGCAACCATCTGCCGATCACAGAGCGCGCGCATTTTAGCCAGCACAAGACTGCTAAGGCACTGTATGACGCTGTAGTTGCCCGCTACTCTTTCCCGGCCACTGCAGCCCTAGGTCGCCTTATGCTACCCTACCTGTTCCCCGACCTGTCCTCGTTCACCACTCCTGAGGACCTCATCTCTCACCTGCGCACTAGCGACGCTCGCATTCGCTCACCTGAGTTCCTCGCCCAGAATCAACCCCCGATGTACTTTACTCTCTACTTCCTAGTCACCCGCCTCCCTGACACTCTTCGCTCCGTCAGGGACCACTTTCTCGCGCTAGATCCTACCACTCTCACTGTCGACGACTTCGAGACGCACCTCCTAGCAGCCGAAAAGAACATTCTCGCTGTAGGTGCTGCTCGTGGCACTCCTCGCACTCCCCTCTTTGAGGGATGCTCCCCCTCCCCTCTTGCCCCCTCCTACGCCTCCGCTGCTGCTGCTCTCAACTACCTTGGTGCTGAGGAGGTCGGGGCTGCTTCCGCTCCTAGTGGGAAGTGCCGCAGTGCCAGGGGCGGCAGGGGTGGCAGGGGAGGTGGGGGTGGCGGTGGAGGGGGCGGTGGTGGAGGCGGCGGGGGTGGAGGCGGTGGTGGGGGTGGTCGTGGGGGTGGAGGTGGTGGTGGGTGCGGCGGAGGCACTAGGAGCGGTGGAGGTGGCAGCGGCGGTAGTGGGGGAGGAGGGAGCAGTGGTGGCAGCGGCGGTAGGAGCTACAGTGGATCCGGCCAGAAGGGGAGCTCCACTGGTGGCCAGGGACAGCAGCAGCAGCAACAACCGCCACAGCAGCAGCAGCAACAGCAGCAGCAGCAGCGTCAGCAGCAGACCCCCCCCTCCCCTGAGCAGCTTCATGACTGGTATGCTCAGCGTGGGGCGTCTGGGGGTCCTGTTCGCTACCCCTATATCATTCGTACAGGCCCCCACACTGGTCGCCCATGCAACGGTTTTCACACTGAGTATCGCTGCTTCTCTAGGCTTAGCAATGCCTGGCGCGCCAAGTTTCCCGAGGCTACTGAGTTTCCCCACTGGGCAGACCTGTCTAGGCGTGGTGCTCCTATCTTTGACCTTGACTATGATGCAATTCTTGCTGCCATGTATGCATTGACTGTTAGTGCTGAGGGTGACTACTACTTGTGTGTGCCGCCTGACCCAGGTATAGAGTCTGCATCCCTAGGTGCTAGCGAGTCTGCTCTCCCTGGTACTGCGTCCGCTCAAGCTTTGCACACCTTTACACTTGACTCTGGTGCTTCCTGCTGTTTCTTTCACGATAGCACCACAGTCACTCCCCTCCCTGCACCTGTCCCTGTCTCACTGGCTGACCCCTCCAGGGGCCCAGTGCTAGCACGGACCACTACTGTGCTTCCGTGTCTGGCGGTCCCGTCTGGTGAGCTGTCTGGTCTCCACCTCCCCTCGTTCTCTACGAACCTGGTGAGCACCGCCGTCCTTCAGGATCACTGGGTTGACACCTTTACTCCTGGAGGACAGCGTGTGGCGATCTGCACGTGCTCTCGGACCGGCCGCCACCTGGCCACGTTCACACGTGCGCCTGGGTCCAGTCTGTACACCCTCACCACTGCGTCACGCTCCACCCCTTTGTCTCCTCAGCTGTACGCGTCCGCACATGTAGCTACCCGGTGTGAGTGTCGCAGCCTGTCGCACCAGACTCTCCTTTGGAACCACCGCCTTGGTCACCCCTCCCTGCCTCGCCTTCGTGGCATGCACTCTCGCTCCCTGGTCTCTGGTCTTCCTAGGTCTCTGCCCTCCCTCCCTCCCTCGCCTGCGCCGCCCTGCATTCCTTGCGTCGAGGGGCGGCAGCGCGCCGCTCCTCACTCCTCCTCGTTCCCTCCCACAGAGGCTCCACTGCAGACTCTCCACCTGGACGTGTGGGGCCCAGCCCGCGTCCGTGGACAGGGCCACGAGCGGTACTTCCTGCTGGTAGTCGATGACTTCACGCGTTACACCACGGTCTTCCCCTTGCAGCGCAAGGGGGATGTCCCTGATGTTTTGATCCCTTGGATCCGCGCTGTTCGTCTCCAGCTCCGCGAGCGGTTCCACTCGGACTTTCCTGTCCTGCGTCTGCACTCCGACAGAGGTGGTGAGTTCACCTCCGACCTCTTGCGAGCCTAATGTGAGGAGCACTGCATTCGCCAGACGTTCACGCTTCCGACCTCTCCGCAACAGAATGGGGTTGCTGAGCACCGCATTGGCTTAGTCATGGAGGTCGCTCGTACCTCCATGATCCATGCGGCTGCCCCCCATTTTCTGTGGCCGTTTGCGGTCCGGTACGCCGCGCATCAGCTCAACCTCTGGCCCCGTGTCTCCATGCCGGAGACTTCGCCCACACTGCGTTGGACGGGGGAGGTTGGCGATGCGTCGCGTTTCCGGGTCTGGGGTGCTCGTGCCTTTGTCCGCGATACCACTTCGGACAAGTTCTCCCCTCGTGCCATTCCCTGCGTCTTCCTTGGCTTTGTCCCTGACGCGCCTGGCTGGCAGTTTTACGACCCCGCCTCGCGCCGTGTCTTTGCGTCTCAAGACGTCACCTTTGACGAGTCCGTCCCCTTTTACCGTCTCTTTCCCTACAGCATTGCCTCTCTCCCCCCCCTCGCCGCTCTTTCTCGCTCCAGGTCCTCCCCAGGTAGACCCCCTCTCTGCTCCAGGTCCTGCTCCATCAGGTGTGTCTCAGGTAGACCCTCCTCCCTCGACTGAGCCGGTTGAGGTCACTAGTGACTCAGGTCCTGCTGGGGGTGGTGCTGCTCGGGGTGCTGCTTCTCGGGGTGCTGAGCCTGGGGGTGCGGAGCCTGGGGGTGCTGAGCCTGGGGGTGCGGAGCCTGGGGGTGTGGAGCCTGGAGGTACTGAGCCTGACCGTGAGGAGCCTGGGGGTGCTGAGCATGAGGGTACTGAGTCTGGGGGTGCTGCGCCTGGGGGTACTGAGTCTGGGGGTGCTGCGCCTGGGGGCGCTGAGGCGCCTGGTGTGCAGTCTCCTTGGAGCGGCCGCCTCCGTAGTCGCTCCGCTGGTGCCTCGCCGCAGCACTCTCGTCGCCGCAGCGTGTTCTCCTGCCGTCCCCTCCTGCGTCTTCTCTGCCTATCGTTCCCGACCCTGAGTCTGACCGTGTTCGTGCTGCTCACCCTACTGTCACGCGTCTGCTTGCCATTGTTGTCACTGACCCTTCGTTTGAGTCCACTGCTGCGTCTGCCTTAGTCACTGAGCTTGTTGACTTTGCTGCTGCCTGTCATCTAGACTACGCTGCTAGTCTTGTTGCTGAGTCTGAGTCTGTCTGTCCTTCGTCCGTCGGGGGTGAGTGTGCTCTTGGCATGGACGTCCTTGAGGACAGGCAGGAGGACCTTGAGTGTCTTGCGGCTGCTGTACCTCATCTCGTGGCCATGCTGCTTGCCCCTGAGGGAGACCCGGATGCACCAGACATCCCGACTCTGCGATCTTACATTGAGGCGATCGCGGGTCCCTACTCCTCTCAGTGGCAGACAGCCATGGACGCAGAGATGGCATCCTGGAAGTCCACAGGCACTTACGTCGATGAGGTTCCCCCACCTGGGGCGAACATCGTCGATGGCATGTGGATTTTCAGGGTGAAACGGCCGCCGAGTTCTCTGCCTGTCTTCAAGGCTCGTTACGTTGCACGAGGCTTCAGTCAGCGAGAGGGAGTTGACTTCTTCCAG